TACTTCATTTGATATATATATATATATATATGAACATGACCCTACAATTGACAGGTACTTCATTTGATATATATATATATATATATGAACATGACCCTACAATTGACAGGTACTTCATTTGATATATATATATATATATATGAACATGACCCTACAATTGACAGGTACTTCATTTGATATATATATATATATATATGAACATGACCCTACAATTGACAGGTACTTCATTTGATATATATATATATATATATGAACATGACCCTACAATTGACAGGTACTTCATTTGATATATATATATATATATATGAACATGACCCTACAATTGACAGGTACTTCATTTGATATATATATATATATATATGAACATGACCCTACAATTGACAGGTACTTCATTTGATATATATATATATATATATGAACATGACCCTACAATTGACAGGTACTTCATTTGATATATATATATATATATATGAACATGACCCTACAATTGACAGGTACTTCATTTGATATATATATATATATATATGAACATGACCCTACAATTGACAGGTACTTCATTTGATATATATATATATATATATGAACATGACCCTACAATTGACAGGTACTTCATTTGATATATATATATATATATATGAACATGACCCTACAATTGACAGGTACTTCATTTGATATATATATATATATATATGAACATGACCCTACAATTGACAGGTACTTCATTTGATATATATATATATATATATGAACATGACCCTACAATTGACAGGTACTTCATTTGATATATATATATATATATATGAACATGACCCTACAATTGACAGGTACTTCATTTGATATATATATATATATATATGAACATGACCCTACAATTGACAGGTACTTCATTTGATATATATATATATATATATGAACATGACCCTACAATTGACAGGTACTTCATTTGATATATATATATATATATATGAACATGACCCTACAATTGACAGGTACTTCATTTGATATATATATATATATATATGAACATGACCCTACAATTGACAGGTACTTCATTTGATATATATATATATATATATGAACATGACCCTACAATTGACAGGTACTTCATTTGATATATATATATATCAAATGAAGTACCTGTTGTGACGGCGCGTTGGGGGTCCCCCGTCTCCTGCATCCCGAAATGGCACAAACAGACTGCACCAGCCGGTGGAATAGAGGAAGTTTATTGCCTCTCCAGGATACAGCACAGCATAGATGTAATCTGGTCACAGAGCTGGGCTAGGATGCCTCAGGCCCCCTTGAGATGGGGGAGACGGGGCCCCTAAACTCCAGTACCTTTCCCTAGGCTGTCTCCTCCATGCTCCCAGACAGCCAGCAACCAACTAACCCTCTTCCAGCCCTGCCCCCCAGCCAGGGCAGCATTCCACCTTCCTTTGTTCCTCTCCATGGGGGGTGTCTGGCCACTGGTTTGCATAGTGACTCATCCTGTTTTGCTGGGTCGTGGTCCCCACGGCAGCCAGTGGGGGTTACCCCAGAGCCAGCAGCATAGAAACCAGCCAGGTACCCCCACTACGTCACACCTGTCAATTGTAGGATCATTTTCATGAAGCTAATTAAGTGGACTGGATGTCATAGCTTTGATGTGGAAAATGCCTTAGAGTTGACAGGTACTTATTTTGCTGTTATAGATATCTATTGGCTGTTAAGTATGCTGGAGATACAGCATAGTGTATGGGAATGGGGTCACATCATGCTTTCTATTTAAGCAATAGATATCACACACTACAAACTGGAGGCCAATTTTCAGTGCACTGTCACTTGTTAATTTTGAAGTCAACACTGGTTCTGAACAAAACAGGCAAATGCTCACACTTTCACAAGCAACTCAACTGAATGGAAGTATGCAGTGCAAGAGTGAATGGCTCAGGGACAGAAAAAGTAAATCATTCATATTCAAAATATGCATACATGGCTGATAAGTGCACCTATGCAAATGGACATCAAGTATTAAGCCACTTTGTATATTATCTTAATATCAGTGATAAGCCAATGCATGTGTGTCTAGATTTTCAAGTTATTGAAGACATATTGTCTGCATCTGTGACAACCCACATCTTAGAAGAGCTAAATTGAACCCCAAGCACATGACTGCTTTTGCATTTGATGGAGCTTCAAACTTCTCTGAAAGTCATAGTGGAGTACAAGCTTTGCTCAGAGAAAAGTGTACTGTTAATCTCTCCTATACACCCTGCAGAGGCTATCTACTCTAACTACCAATACACAAACTGCAGAATATTCAGAAGACTGTTTAAAAAGTCACGAATGTAATGTCCTCATTAAACTCTATTTTTCAGAAGGAGTCCCAAAGGACTAGACATCATTTAATAAATAGAAGATTAAGTTCAAATTAGTCCAACCTGGGAAAACCCATTAGCTTTCTTACAAGTTCTCTTTGACTATTGTGTTGGGCCACGTCTATACTTACATGTCAGGGATTGGTCTTCTGTCATTCAATTTAGGAGGTCTAGTTAAGACCACTAAATCAAATGCTGTAGATGCCTCCAGTTGGTGCCAGTATTCCATGCAGTCAGGAGGCATGAGGGAAATTGACAGGAGTATTTATTCCAGTTGGCCTCCCACTGTAAGGATGCTGGTTTCAGGTACGCAACTCCAACCACTTAGTGTGATGGATTTATGTCTACACTATGGCAGAATGTTGACCTAAGCTACACAACTCAGATTCATGAATGTAGCTGGAGCTGACATCCCACAGGTGGAGTTACAGTGGGATCTACACTGCAGAAGGTTGATAGGATAAAACTCAATTTTTAAATCACACAAATTAAAGATGACTACTAAAGCCTACGTGAAGCACTACATCTACATTCTTCTTGATTTCTTGTAATTTTGCAGGAACTCCTAGTGAGCTTCTCGAATGCAGTGCATTCACGTTTAGTGACTTCTTGTGTGTCCATTACTGCCATTCCTTCATGGCTTGCACTTTCCAGTGGGCCCCTTTACCAGAGACAAGAAGAGAAAGGGAAGTCAACAGGAGAAGTAACTAGGATTATATTCAGTAAAGACAGATACAAATTACTCCACTTTAGAAGGAACGATCAGCTGCACACATGCAACATGGGAAATGACTCCCTAGGGATATATCTACATAGACATTATTCCAAAATAACATAGTGTGGGTCTACATATAAGCCATTATTCTGAAATAATGTTGAGCTGGAGGACTTCTTATTCTGACTCCTGTAACCCTCATTTTATGAGGAACAAGTGAATTCAAAGGAAGAGTGTTCTTCCTTCCACTTCCTACTGTGTAGACTGTGCTAGAAGTCCAATTAAGCTATTTTGACTTAAGATACACAATTGATGTAGCTGAAGTTGCGTAGCTTAATTTTAGTTTTTCCCTGTTGTGTAGACATGCCCTTGGAAGGAGTAGTGTGAAAAGGTTTCTGGGGGTCATAGTGGCCCATAAACTAAATAAGAGTGAAAAGTGTAACATTGTTGTGAAAAAGCAAACATCCTTCTGGGATGTGTTACCAAGAGTGTTGTAAGACAAAAGAAGTAATTCTTTTGCTCTATTCTGTGTTAATTAGGTTTCAACTGGAGTATTGTGTTCAATTCTGGGCACAACTTTTCAGGAAACATGTGGACACACTAGAAAGACTCCAAAGAAGAGCAAGAAAATGATTAAACATCTGGAAAATATGACCTATGAAGGATGATTTTAAAAAATGGGTTTAGTTCATCTTGAAAAAATGAAGATTGAAAGGGGACATAACAATTTTCAAATACAGAAAAGTCTGTTAGAAGGAGGAGGGAGAAAAATGTTTTTAATTTTTGAAGCTAGGAGAAGAAGCAATGGTCTTAAATTGCAGCAAAGAGGATTTAGGTTGGATATTGGGAAGAACATCTGAATTGTCAGGGTGGTTAAGCACTGGAATAAATTGCCTGAGGGTGTTGTGGCATCTCCATCACTGGAGATTTTTGAGAGCAGGTTAAACAAACTCCTAACAGGGATGGCCTGTATAATACTTAGTCCTGCCATGAGTACAAGGGACTGGACTAGATAACTTCCTGGGGTCCTTTCCAGCCCTTTGATTCTGATCAAAGTTCTCATTTTTTTTACACCAGCTGCTGGAGGCCTGCAATGCAGATCTATTCACTATCAAATAGAAAAATGGAAAACAAAACTATGAGATCAATTACAGAGTGTACTCTGCTTGATGCAAAATCTAAATATAATACAAGCAAAGACAATGGACACTTGACCACCTACATTTGCTGTTGGGATGCTAAATATATTGGTAGCGCATGGTTCTTCAGATACACATATGCAATCCAGGGACACATCTCATGCAAGAGGAATGTGATGGGATAGTAAATGTATACAGTACTTAGAAATCTCTTACTTCAGTTTAATTTTTCTTTCTTTTGTGACCACTATTGCCATAAAATATGTGAGATAAGAATATTACAAGGAAGATGTTTCTCTGCTTCTTCAAATGCAACGGGACACCTATTTTGTTTGAATAATTGTATAGTTGCCAGCACAACATCTCTTCCCCAGAACTAACTATATGCTGGATTAACCACTGGGTCGACCACTAAATACATCTAGGTTATTAGGATGCAGTTTTAGTTTTACTGTAGAGCACTGTAACACAAAAGGGGATAATCGATTTAAGGATTTCTGTAGTTGAGAGAAATGATAATGGGAGGTGAGAGAAGAAACCCGGTGTCGAATATTTTATGATTTTCAACAGTCTAGCTCATCCAATGGGTAATAACAATATTTAATATCATATAGTTTTTAATCTGCAATTTATTAACCATACGTTGTAGTTAATAGAGAAATCTTTACCATGCACAGAATAACAGCGGGCAATACATTTTCACCGCAAAATGCTGGCCTGCCTTATTTTAGCTAAGCCACAGGGTGGCGATATTGGCAAAGACGGTGTTGAAAATGCAGTTTTTCCCAGTCCATCAGCGCTTAGTGAGGAGCTGCTCTCAGACGCCTGAATGCCGCAGAAGGCAGCGGCTCTGCGCCGGGAACGGGTGACAAAGGAATACAAGAAAAGGCCTCTGTAAGAACTAGAAACTGATAGTATCTGGCTCAATCTCTTGTACTGTAAACTGAGCTCGTATTGAGGAGAAATCGTTTCCCGTCTCGCACAACATCCGAGCGGCTACCGCGCCTTGGCAGAGGGGCCTGTTTTCAGATCTGACTGGGCCTGGCTGGCGCAATGGCGAATCGCTCCAGGACAAGGCAAGTTCTCTCTTTCGCTCTGTGTCTGTGGGTGTCCCTGGCGGAGGGCGGGACGAGCCGCTATTCTGTGCCGGAGGAGAAGAAAAGCGGGTCGCTAGTTGCTAATATCGCAAAGGATTTGAATGTGGCCGTAGGGACCTTGTCTGCTCGCAGGGCGCGGCTGGTTTCTAAAAGCACCAGGCAGTATTTTGAGCTGAACGCGCGGTCCGGGGATGTGAGAATAAAGGAGAAAATAGACCGGGAGGAGCTTTGCAGACGGAGTGACCCGTGTGTGCTGCAATTCGAAATTGTGCTGGAAAACCCACTGCAGCTGTACCCAGTGGAGGTGCAGATCGAAGATGTGAATGACAATTCCCCGAAATTCTCCAAGAGCGAATTCACTTTGGAGGCGCCTGAACAGATCCCGATAAACACCCGCTTGCCCCTGGAAAGGGCCCAAGATTCGGACATAGGAACAAACGGCATCCAGAGCTACGCAATAGCCGAAGATGCAGACATAGGAACAAACGGCATCCAGAGCTACGCAATCAGCTCTAATGAGCATTTCCGTCTGGATGTGCAAACCCACAGCGACGGCAGCAAATACGCGGAGCTTGTGCTCGAGAAACAATTAGATCGCGAGGCGCAGGCGCAGTTGATGCTGATTCTCACCGCTGCAGATGGGGGCCGCCCACAGCGAACCGGCACAGCCCAAATACGCGTCAGTGTGCTGGATAACAACGATAACTTCCCCCAGTTCAGCCAGTCCGTGTACAGGGCGCAGTTACCGGAGAACAGTCCTAGAGGTACCTTGGTCACCAGGGTGGAGGCCAGTGATTTGGATGAAGGCTCAAATGCAGAAATCAGCTATTCCTACGGGCAAGTGCCTGAGAGAGTCCTCGAGTTATTTCAGCTCAATCCGTCCACCGGGGAAATCACTGTGCTGGGGACAATTGATTATGAACAAACGACAAAGTATGAAATAGAATTTCGGGCCAAGGATGGGGGCGGGTTGTCTGCGCACTGCAAAGTGCTGGTGGAGATCGAGGACATGAATGACAACGCCCCGGAGGTGACGCTGACGTCCCTCAGCAGCACCATCCCCGAGGACTCCGCCCCGGGCACCGTGGTGGCCTTGTTCAGTGTGAGAGACCGGGACTCTGGGGACAACGGCAGAGCAGCCTGCTCCATTCCGGGCAATGTCCCTTTCGCTTTGAAATCGACTGTGCAGAACTATTACGAGCTTGTCACACGGGGGCCCCTGGACCGCGAGGCGGTGGCCGAGTATAACATCAGCATCACAGCCACGGACCGGGGCGCTCCCCGGCTCGCCTCGGAGAGGGTGATCCGCGTGCAGCTGTCGGATGTCAATGACAACCCGCCGGTGTTTACCGAGCAGTCCTACGTCATGTACCTGAAGGAGAACAACCTCCCGGGGCTCTTGATCGGCTCTGTCCACGCTGCGGACCTGGACACCGAGCAGAATGCCAAAGTGACGTACTCGGCGTTGCCTGGCGACGTGGGCGACCTCCCCTTCTCCTCCTACGTCTCCATAAACTCCGACAGCGGCCACGTGTACGCGCTGCGATCCATGGATTATGAGCGAACGAGGGATTTCGAGGTGCGGGTGCGCGCTGCGGATGGCGGGTCCCCCCCGCTGAGCTCTGAAGCCACCGTCCGGGTTGTGATCTTGGACGAAAACGACAACGCGCCCTTCCTGTTATACCCTCTGCAGAACAGCAGCTCCCCCGCCAGTGAGCTGGTGCCCCGCTCGGCGGGGCCGGGTTACCTGGTGACGAAGGTGGTGGCCGTGGACGGAGACTCGGGCCAGAATTCTTGGCTTTCCTACCAGCTGCTGAGGGCCACGGACCCCGGTCTCTTCACGGTGGGGCTCCAGAGCGGGGAGGTGAGAACCAGCAGGCCGGTAACGAGCCCGGACTCTGTGAAACAGAAACTGCTCGTGCTGGTGAGAGACAACGGCGACCCGCCCAGATCCACCACCTCCACGCTGAACGTGCTCCTGGTGGACGGGTTTTCGGAGGCCCACCTGCAGCTCCTGGACGTGCCCCAAGAGGAGGGGCAGCAGGACACGTTAACCCTGTATCTCGTCATTGCTTTGTCTTGCATTTCGTTCCTTTTCCTGCTGTCCGTGGTGACAGTGATCGCCACCCGGCTGTACAAGGCGAGGCAGGGCCAAGAGCGGTACATGGCATCGTCCAGGAACTTCTATTGTGAGCCCAGCTTCCCCACAAACCCCGCGGACACGAGTGGCGCCGGGACTCTGCCTCAGTCTTATTGTTACGAGGTTTGCTTGACCACGGGCTCTGGCACCAGCGAATTTAAGTATCTCCGGCCGCTGCTACCGACCGTGCCCGCTGAGCCCAGAACTGCAGGAGGGTCCCTTCTCGACTCTCAGCTTAGCTCCCAGCTGAAGGAGGGGTCTGTGGCAGCTGAGCCCAGCGCTGCAGGAGGGTCGGTTCTGGACTCTCAGGTTAGTTCCCAGCTAAAGGAGGGGAAGGAATCCGTGAGCAAGGTGAGTGCTCATGTTACTCCATGTGCGTTAATGCCTAGGTTGGATTATTGTATTGTTCTTGGTCTGTAAATTACTTGACTCGGATATTCAGAAATGTTTGGAAATATGTGATTGTCTAGGAAGCTTTTCTGTTCATTGTCCAAAGTATTGATGTATTTTTAGCATGTGCTGGCTAATATAATTGCACAGTAGCGTTCTGTTCAGTTGTTTGTCGGATTTGTTCTGATCTTCTTGTATTGTTTGTGGTATCTACCAAAAAAGATTGAAGTTTGTCCAAAGAATTATTTGGATATTATTTATGGAGCTCTTGTTACCATCGGAATTTTCTCACCTTCGTTCAATATTCCGAATGCGGTTCTATATACTCTGAATTTTTACAAGGGATTTACAACTTGTTTTTTCTGTAGAATTTTTTGCGGCAATCTTGCTGAGATTAGAATTTCAGAACACAGGTGTCAGTATGTAGCAAGGCAGATAAGGAATAATGTTACAACGGAAAATACACACCCAGCAAAATATATAAACTACTCCTTACTTGTCCGTCAAGCCTTTGCAATGGGAGCAATTATCAGTGGCAGAGGTTTCAATGAGGGGGATATTTGTTGAAGAAATGGACAAAATTTATAAAGCAGTTAGAGCTTCATAAATGTTTGTACACATGACCATCAGCGTGGATGTTCAGGGCTGGTGTGATATTGCACCCAACTGATATAGCAGCGGTTGGTGGTATTAGCAAGATTTTTGTAAGCAACAAGTGTGTGAGAAGTCGGTGAGCAAAGGAATATAGTGTTGAGTCCAAAGAGAGGCCATAATCTAGAATAACCAAGGAAACTCTCCGTGTACACGCACTGTCCGGTTGCGGATGTGCAGAAACACCACTGGCTCATCAGTTGTCCAACAATGCTAAAAATGAAGGATCAGGTCCGATAAGCGAAATCGAGGTTGGAAGTGCAATATAAAGCAGCCAATTTGGTACTATTTAGTTCTCTTTTTGGGTTGAACGGACGGAAGTTTATAGCCCCTGAGAAGTAACACAGTAGTATGACTCTTTCGCATTACGAAATGGAATGTGTTTAACGTTTGTAGGGTAACACACAGGACCCATATCCAAACGCAATCTCCTGACGTTACACTTGCTAATGGATAATATTAATGTAATTTGGGTTTAACTATGGCACTAGCTCATGTTGTACTTTTCCGGAGGCAAAACCACGGGATGAGAAGGTCTAGATAGGAGATTCCACTTACTGGAACTTGCTACCGGTCTGGCCCTCAGGTGGGGGGATGTGTTGCGGGATAAGACGGTGCACAGAGAACACAAGCGTGGATCGATGGGGGAAGAAATCTGACTCCTCAGAGGGGTTTTTCCCCATGTTCTTTCTGGCCTGCCTCACTCTGCATCAGCGCCCTCCCCTTTTCCTCTGTGTTCGGGGGAAATCCCGGAATGAAATTTGGGAGATCATTACCAATCACCGGTCTGAAGTATTTCTGCTAGTTCAGGTGGGGAGCAGGCATTAGAAAGAACTGTAAAGACATAGGAATGCGATGCGAAACCAATACCCCACGATCTGCCTACCTTGGCCAAATTCCATCATGTTCTTCTCTCTATCACCAGAACAAAGGTGAAAAGGAGCATCTGCCCTTTGTAACCAAGAGATGCCTTAATTCTAGCTCTTCGTTTTCCAGACAATGGATACAATTTAAAGGAGGTTTTACATGTTTATTTTCCTCCAAAGACAGTGTTACTATAATCGAGCAATGTGTCAGAGTTTGTCATTCGAGAATAATTTTGTGACACCAGTCCTAACACATGTCTTGAATCTAGGAATTTGCAGTTATTGTGACTATTAGCAATGCGTAATTGGTGAATTATTATCAAGGAATATGTGTATGGTTTTTAAAAATACGGAGCCGTTTATTTCGCTGTAAAAATGTATAGGATGTTTTAGATATCTTAATATACTGCCAAGGACCCTGAATTATTTAAAACACATATCTTTTTGAGACAGGCATATGTACTCCCAGAGACATTTTACTATAAATCATAATTCCTCATTATTTGCTAAATATAACTTGGAATTCAATATAATTCATGAATTATTTGCTTATAGCATTTTTCTGATACTACAATCTGGATTTAGATACCTAACAATAGAATGACAACGTGCTCCCAAAAAAATCTTCACTTCCCTTTCAGGAAATGTGAACAATAAATACAAAACTGATATTAAAAGTATCGATATCCCAGCTGATGTAAATCGAACTAGCGCCTCCGATGGTGGCAGCTAACTTTACACTATTTGCATATCTAGAACATTGACAGACCTGATAATTTTAAACAAACAAAAAACAATGTTTATGGTGGCACTTTATAGCAGTTACTTAGCGTTCCTGCAGGAAGTATTAACCAAAGGTTAGAATCATAGAGCTGGAAGAGACCTCAGGAGGTCATCAAGTCCAGCCCCCTGCCCAAGGCAGGACCAATCCCAACTAGAGGTTAATTAGAGGCTATCAAAATAAGTTATTCTTAACTCTTTCAAATCTATTTAAAAAATAAAATCGATCTAGTTGCCTGCGACTGCTAACAATCCTGGCCAAAATGTATAAAATCCTTTCTTGATTTGGAAGCCTGCCTTTTTGGTGCTCAGTATTAGATACTCAGGCCCTATCCCCTAGGCCACTCCACCTCCCTCCTGTGGAGGGGCTCTTATCCTGTGTTGGTTGTCTAGTCATTTCCAGGATGGGTTGGAGGGGGCACCACTAGAGCCATGGAGGGGGGCTCTGTCCGCCCCCATCCACCCACTCTGTAAGGGGCCGGACAGCCAACACAGGCTGCCCAGGATTGGAGCTGGCTCCCGCATTAGGAAGGGAGGGTAAGGGACGGGTTGAAGGTGGGGACGTGGGGTGGATTCTGGAGTGGCTTTGGGGATAGGGCACTCGCTCGGGGGTGCAGGGCTGCGGGCTTGAGCATGTGAAGGTAAGGTGGTGGGATAGGTTCTGGAGTGTCTTAAGGGGTAGAGCAAAATAACAATCTTTTGAATGAGTCACCTGAATTACCATAAAGTTGAATTACCTGCATTACCTTCTGAATGTTCACAAGGTAAAATTTCTCAGCAAGTTATACAGGGACACAGTGTCACCCTTTTGGATTTCAACAAATAGGAGCATTTGTGCTATAAGATGTACTTACGGGCCAGGTGCTTTTCCCATTGAAATCAATAACAAAACTATTGAGTTTAAATAGACCGGTATCCCAGCCACAGTTCTCTAAGATGAAGTCCCGCTTGCATGTACTCCAATGCACAATAGTGCCTGACTTCTTTGCAACAGCCGATAATGACACCTCACCATTCTGTATTGTTTGCAGGGCAGAGCATCCGTTTCTGAGGACTCCATACCCAGATCTTCAGGCGCAGGCTGTATTGCTAACAAGGTGTTAGGGATAAATGAGGACTGTGGTCAAAACGGTTGGCTTTCCTACCAATAGATGAGAACAACCAACTCCGCTCTGTTCAACTATCAGACACCATAAACAAGAATTGAGAATCAAGAGGCTTGTCGCCTTCAAAGAAACTTTCAAGAAGATATACGTCCTTTATGTAAGAGACCCTTTCTATATTGTGTAGTTGTTTATTCCTGTTTAATAGGCATTTCAAGTAGACCTTTGCATTTGTGACCTAGTTACTGAAGAAGAACAGGAGCTCGTATATCATGCTTGCTTTGTAGATGCCAGGTAGTCCTTAGTTTATTATGATTATTAGAATTTAGAAACTTCTACTTTGTCTAGATAAGTCAAACCTAAACTTTAACAGTGATTTATCATAAACTACCTTCCCTATCACTCTCCGGCCAGGAGATGATTATGTAATAGTGTGTTGATTTTTTGCAAGTTCTTTTCAGTGTACAAGTTTAACATTCAATGAAAATTAAGAATATTTTCTCTTACAAAGTAATTATATATCAGCAAACAGAAAAAGATTACATTAAAAATGATTGACTACAATGTACCATTGCATATTTGGTTGGAAGGTTGAGCCTCATGTATATTGTGTAAACTGTGTATTTTCAAAATTGCAGTCTTTTTTCTGATCATATGAAACTGAAACTAATAGTTATAAAGTATTTCGAGATCCTTCGTTAAAAAATGCTGTAGAAGTGAAGAACAAATATTTCATTAATAGTATGATAGTAACATAGGTTAAAAGTGATACTATAAACCTTAGACACTTTGCTGTGTGTAATGAGTATATTTTCTTTCTGCCTTTATTTAATGTCATTACCAAGTGTAACATTTAAGATAAAGGGAACATGATGTAATTTTCCGCGTTGATCACATGGTTTAAAAATCGAGTTTCTGGTGACCATAACAATAATAAAAACAATTTTTGAAAATGGCTTTAGTTTGACTTTATCCGTTGAGTCTCAGGATTGGTAGCTGCGCAGCCAGCCAGGGAACAATTTCTAATGACCTGTTCTGGTGTCTGGTAGGCTGGCTGGTCTGTCCCAAACGTGACAGCTGGTGGCCCACATATGCAGGAAATAGCATACAGAAAGTGGGCTATCTGCAGCACATGGCTATGGAATGCAATCCCATCACCGGCAGATGGAGAGGAAGAGAGTGTGGGAAAGTGCCTAACTGCAAGCAGAGGAAATGCAGCTCTCACTGAAGTCAGGCAAACATTGGTTCTGTCTACAAAACTTCAATAGATGGGAGAAGTCGGCGACATTTCTGCTAACATTTAACTAAGACAAAAGGGGATGAGAAATGCATCAGGCAAGTGCAATGCCAGCAAGTTTGAATAGTGGAATGCAGAATGAGGTTAAAATCTTGATATAGCTAATAGTGCCTCAAGAACCTGCCTTGTTAACATGGCATTTTACACCCCTACTTTTATGAGGGTCTGGATGTGGTACCCACTGTTTGGTGAGGCCAGGTCAGGACTGTAAAACTTAAACCTAAGCTTCAGGGAGGTTGCAGTGGTTGGGGATGGGGCTTGTGCATGAATCGCTACCCAGCCCCAACCCTGTTCTAGTGCTGGCCCAGGTTACAGTGGCAGTGGTGGTGGCTCCAATTCCAAGGTCTTCCCGCTGCCTCTTCTTTATTAAAAATAAAGTGAATTTTAATAGCTATGAAATGATACATTGTGCAGGAATGAGAGATGTCAAAAGTCGGGGGGGAAGGGGGGAATAAGATGGCAGCAGTCACCAGGGTTAGCTCCTAACGGGCCACTGTATTCACCTGTGCCTCAGCAGGTATGGGTAACTGCAGATCACCGTTCGTGGCCAATGAGAGCAGCGGGAAGTGGCGCACACCGGGACACTGCTTTCCGCAGCTTCCATTGGCCAGGAACAGCAATCTGTGGCCAACGGGAGCTGCAATCGTCCATACCTGTGGAGGCGCAGGTAAATACAGTGGTAGTGACCCGCCAGGGGCTAACCCTGGTGAACCGGAAGTGGTGCATTTGATTTTTCCTCTTTAAAGGGGGTACTCTGTCTTCACTGCATTTCATATTGTTGATTTCACATAAATTCTCGGATTTCTCAAGATCATGTAGAAGTCTAATCCTCTCCTTCAAAGTGCTGGAAACCCCTTCCATCTTGGTGTCATACATCTTTCTAAGGAAATTAAGAGTACTTTTAACTGACATCAGAGATCTGAGAACAGCAACACTGGCAGCACTAACAGCATCGAGTAGGACAAACTGACACCGAAAACATTTTGCCGAAAACTGCTCTATGGAGTACAATATAGCCTCCTCCCTTCCCTAGATTTGACAATCGAAAAAAGTGACCAGGCCTTAGATATGCTGAGTAAACGGTGAACTTTGGCTGCTTTGCACCTCTGAGTTTTCGGATTAGGCACTACTTGAAAAAAAAAGACTAAAATGCAGATAAAGTATTCAGCATGCCTTTTCTTGCTTTCCGTATTATAACGTTACCTCGATAGATGTGTGTGTTCCAAGAAAAGTTTATTAATTAAGAGTATCTACAAAGAAAACAATGTAATAGCCCTTTTTAATGGAGACAGCAGAAGCATCAAAAACAGATTTTTTTCCAACCGGTTTCCCGACGAGGAAAACCTCGTTCAGACACATGGTGGCGCTGTTGGCTAAGCAGGGGCGCGATTACAACAGGCAATTCTGGCTGTGAGAACTTAATATCTCCCGATTGCAGAAGCAGAGATACGGGAGCTTTGTCTGGTACCGCTGAGAGAAACAGCCCTAAAAAGGGCGTCTCGTTCACTGAATCCCTGGACAGGAAATAGCCAGACTAAAGTAAATCTTTCGGCAATCTGAATTCGGCAGCGAAACTCCACTGGAGTCGTTATTTCTCGCCCCATCTGTGCGTTCTCTCCTATTGGGAATGGCGGACAACGAGAGGAGAAAAACAATCGAAAGGCAAGTGGCGTTTCTCGTTCTGTTTCTTTGCATGTGGGGCGTCGGGTGCGAGACGGCTCTCTACTCTGTGCCCGAGGAAATGGAAAGCGGGTCCTTTGTGGCGAATGTAGCAAAGGATCTGAGACTAGACCCGAAGAGACTGTCCGCTCGCAGGGCCCGTGTGGTGTCTGAAGGCAGCCGCCAGCATTTCCAGCTAGACAGAGACACCGGGGACTTGTTTATTAAAGAGAAACTGGACCGAGAGGAGCTGTGCGGGCAAACTGACCCCTGCACGGTGCAATTTAAAATGATACTGGAAAATCCCCTGCAAGCCTTTCCCGCTGAGATAAGAGTTTATGACATAAATGATCATTCTCCTGAGTTCTCCGAACAGGAATTTATTTTAAAAATCTTGGAAACGTCTGAACCTGGGTCTCGGTTTCCCTTGGACAATGCCCAGGATTTAGATGTGGGAAGCAACAGCTTGCAGAACTACAGCCTTAGCAACAATGACTATTTCCATGTTGATACGCGGGAGCAGAGCACCGGCAGGAAATTCGCAGAGCTCGTGCTGGATAAGCTGCTAGACCGCGAGGAGCTGCCAGAGGTGAGTCTCTCCGAGGTCTGGCACAGCACAAATCCGTGTCACTGTCTTGGATGCCAATGACAATTCCCCGGTCTTCTCTCAGGCCATTTACCAAGCTCGAGTTCCGGAAAACAGCCCCAAAGATCATCCGATTGTCACTGTTTCTGCTACTGATTTAGACGAGGGAAATAATGGGGAAATAGCCTATTCTTTTAGCCAGAAATCCAAAGAAAATAGCAAAACCTTTCACATACACGGACTGACTGGAGAAATTCGACTCACAGGACAACTAGATTTTGAAACGATAGAAGCGTATGAGCTAGATGTTCGGGCTACGGATGGCGGGGGTATTTTCTCCCACACTAAAGTGCTTGTAGAGGTGGTGGATGTAAATGACAATCCCCCGGAAGTTGAATTAATATCCCTCAACAGCCCCATACCCGAGGACTCGTCGCCTGAGACTGTGGTGGCGCTTTTTAGTGTCAGGGACCGGGACTCTGGGGACAACGGGAGAACAGTCTGCTCCATAGACGATGACCTTCCATTTTCATTGAAAACAACTTTCAGAAATTCCTACTCGCTGGTGACTGAACACGCGCTTGACCGAGAGACAGTGTCGGAGTATAACATAACCATCACCGCCAGGGACATGGGATCTCCCAGTCTCTCCACTGAAAAGACCATCACCGTGAAAATCTCCGACATTAATGACAACTCCCCGGTGTTCAGCCAAACGTCATACACTCTGCACGTCCGAGAAAACAGCGGCCCCGCCCTGTTGCTAGGGCAGGTCCGTGCTTTTGATTCGGACTCGGAGCAGAACGCCAAGGTGACATACTCGCTCTTGCCTGCTGAGGCCGGTGGCCTTCCGCTGCTCTCCTATATCTCCATCAACTCGGAGAACGGGAACGTGTACGCGCTGCGATCCGTGGATTATGAGCAGATCAGAGAGTTCCAGGTGCGGGTGCGCGCTGCGGATGGCGGGTCCCCCCCGCTGAGCTCTGAAGCCACCGTCCGGGTTGTGATCTTGGACGAAAACGACAACGCGCCCTTCCTGTTATACCCCCTGCAGAACAGCAGCTCCCCCGCCAGTGAGCTGGTGCCCCGCTCGGCGGGGCCGGGTTACCTGGTGACGAAGGTGGTGGCCGTGGACGGAGACTCGGGCCAGAATTCTTGGCTTTCCTACCAGCTGCTGAGGGCCACGGACCCCGGTCTCTTCACGGTGGCTTCCCACAATGGGGAAATCAGAACCACGAGGCTCATAACAGAACGAGATTCCAAGAAGCAGAAACTCATTGTGGTTGTTCGAGACAGCGGCGAATCGGCTCTTTCTTCCTCTGCAACTCTCACCATAGCTCTGGTGGATGGGTTTTCGGACGCACACCTGCAGTATACCGAGGTCGCTGTGGAAGAGGAAGAGAATGGCCCGTTAACGCTTTATTTAGTCATTTCCTTGTGCTTAGTGTCGTTTGGCTTCTTGGTTTCAGTGATAATATTTATATGTATCAAGCTTTATAGAAGAAGGAATTATGGTGAAAAATACGTGTCTGCTTCTGCCAATGGCTACGGTGATAGCAACTTCCAAACTAATCTGGTAGATGTGTCGGGCACCGGGACTCTGTCTCAGAGCCATCGCTATGAAGTCTGTTTAACGACTGGATCAGGAAACAGCGAATTCAAATTCCTGAGGCCCGTTCTCCCCTCCTTGCCACCTGGGCAGGGCCCCCCTGGAACGGGCTCTGGGCGAGACCAGGACCTTCTTGCTAACTTTCACCTGAACCCGGACCTGGAGCCAGCGAATCAGGTTAGATTAACTTTCTCGTTCTCTATAGTTTTTTATTTGTTTGTTATTTTTCTTAATCATTGGTTTAACGGAAGTCCGGAGTTTGAAGAAAATATTATAAATATTTCACAAGTATTCAGAACGGAACTCATTTTTGTTCTTTTGGTTCTTGCAAATAAGTTTCGGATTGGTCTGTGTATTTCATGTTTCCTAGTCTGTGTTTTGGTGTAGAAACATTTGGAATATTACATCTCTTCAGCGGACGTGCGTGTATCGGGGAGCCTTCATAGACTACTGGTCGACTGAATATGAACGAGCATACAAGAAAATGATCAGTTTTGGGGAAACACTTTAATGTCCTAGTAGAGAGAACTGATTTTCGCTTTTGAGCAAAGAATGCTGGTGTCATTAAAGACTTTTGGCCAAGTGCGGTTTAACAGGGTTGTAAATGATAAATGAATGCACCCAGCTACTTCCCCATTGTTATTTTTACAGTCACCTGTGATCGAATTAAGGCACAAGGGGTAATGGAAAATGTCTCGATGCACATTCTTGACTTTACATACTGTATAGTGCATTTTTAGAAAACATCAGAAGGTGTATTAACTATTAGGTTGAATTGAATCGCATTCGAATTCTACATGATTTTTCATAACGGGTTGTGTTCGTCCAGTAGAACACTATTTTATCTGCTCTCCCTGGTGTTGTGAAATGATTTGATTCTGTTGTGTCCTTACAGTATCGAACTTGCAAGTTTGTATTTAATCTATATTTTACAATTATTTTTGTTGTTTATATCTTTTCATAATAAATAATGTAGGATTTTTTAGAAATAGACTCCTAGAGTAGAAAACGGGAATTTCAAAATCTGTCTTTGTTATTTTGGCCTTTGCAAGTAATTTTGCATTTTGTTTCTGGTATGAAAATACTAGATAGTGAAAGACACTATGGCAGATTTCCAGACTTTCTTCTTTTGCTGGTTAAGAATGTTTCTAATATGTGGGTGTGTTATATTCTTGGATTCAATTGTCATTCACTTTCAACCGTTCTTAACTATTGCTTTCACATATTTTTTATTTTGGAATTTTCCACACACAAACGTTTTTTTAATGGGGTTGGGATATAAAAGCCAAAAGAGTTGGGCAGTGCTCCCAGACATATGTAGAAATCTGCTGAAGTGGAGCTGCAAGTTAATAGGAAGTTTGTTGTGAGGAGTTTTATACTTAAGAACATAAGAAGGGCCATACTGGGTCAGACCAACAGTCCATCCTGCCCAGTATCCTGTCTGCCAACAGTAGACAATACCAGATGCCTCAGTGGGAGAGAACACAACAGGTAATCCTCATGTGATCCCTCCCCTGTCACCCACCTCCAGAGAAACAGATGCTAGGGACACCATTCCTGCCCATCCTGGATAATAGCCATTGATGGACCTAACCTCCATTAATCTATCTAGCTCTTTTTTAGCTCTTCTTCCACCTGTCAGCAGGGGATGGAGGAGACAGGAGCTGAGGAAGCAGCATAGGCCAAGGGACGATTCCATTATTAAGTAATGGAATGTTTGAAAACAGCTATATTGTTGGGGGTGGGGTCTGTACAATTTTATTAGATTGAAAAGGGGTCTGTATGCTCAAAAAGTTTGGGAAGTACTGATCTAGAAAATGTTAAGCATTTACATTTTAAAACAGAGAAAAAGCCATTTTTGCAAGTTCCCCACTATGCTTCCTTATTCCCATGAACCAATCCCATATCTGTTCCAACCCACTGCACTACCATTTCTCTCCTGGTACCCTGAATTCTTTTTCTTCGATTACCTTCCTGACCTTAACTCATGTCCCTTGTCCCCTTTCCATTCTTGTTACCATGTAACCTGGGATATAAGACTGGTCTTTGTGATTTTTGGTGTCAGAGACTATCTGACAAAGGTAAATTTACTTGGGTGTTGAGATAGATTGGGGTATCAAATTAACTGCTTGTGACTTCATGGTTAGGTTGTTATAGTGCCTGGCTTTACACTTAATCACTGGTTGTGAAATCTATGTATATTACAATGAAGTTCGATTTGTGCCATGCTTACTAACTCACACTCTTGAGTCTCTGCTTGACAATAGGTCTAAAATTGCTCTGTATAAACTCTTAGTGATATTGTAAATTCCCTTCCCCTGCCCCCTCCAAACAATACTCAGCAGGCTGCTATTCTCAGTAAGGCCAATAAAACAAAATATATCTGTAATTTGCAATCAAAGTAATTTTGGAAGCATAATGAGCAATTTTAAGAGGATTCTCTTCAGACATTGAACATTAACTAAAAATTAAAATCCTCATAACTTTCAAACTCCTTTTCTGATTTTTACCAAACTTCTTTGAAAATAAATCATTTCGTTCATCTCATCATAGGATAAGATGGACAAAATACATTTCTAGAAGGTTGATTACCTTTTTGAGGAGACTGGGATTCAGGAGAGACAGTTTTAAAATTCAAGTTACTAAAACAAAACTACCATCAGTCTTGACTTTGGAGCACCTATTGTTACAGGAGGATTTTGTTTTAAAAATGGAAATAAAATAAATTTTGTATCTGTTTACAGAACAGTGCAAAAGAGTCTAATGAAGGATTTTACAGCTCAAATAATTTATTCAAAAATTGACAAAAAATTATTTAACATTATTTTCTGAAGGTATAGGTGGTTATGTTTTCAGTGGATGTATTAATGTCTATTCTATTTTACTTTCTTTCCATGTACAAATCAAGAAAAGTGGGGAGGGACAATCTATAGCTGAATCTGAGTAGATGTTACTTGAATTCAAAAAAATAAAATAATGCATTATAATTACAGGAAAACAGGAAGGCTATGTTTAGACTGGCATGATTTTCTGGAAATGCTTTTAACGGAAAAAGTTTCCATTAAAAGCATTTTCAGAAAAGAGCGTCTAGATTGGTACGGACGCTTTTCCGCAAAAGCACTTTTTGCGGAAAAGCGTCCATGGCCAATCTAGACGTGCTTTTGCGCAAAAAAGCCCCGATCGCCATTTTTGCGATCGGGGCTTTTTTGTGCAAAACAAATCTCAGCTGTCTACACTAGCCCTTTTGTGCAAAAGTTTTGCACAAAGGGGACTTTTCCCCGAACGGGAGCAGCATAGTATTTCTGCAAAAAGCATTGATTTCTTACAGTAGGAAGTCAGTGCTTTTGCGGAAATTCAAGCGGCCAGTGTAGACAGCTGGCAAGTTTTTCCAGAAAAGTGGCTGATTTTCCGGAAAAACTGGCCAGTCTAGACACAGCCGAAATGTAAATATTCACTTCTGCATATATTAGAGCATAAGCAACTCATTGTGAGTAACCATGGTTAAATCACTTTCAGCATCATCACATGCACAACATTTATGAGATATATACATCAACATTGACAGGTAAGATTAAGTGTAACTTCTCTGTGTGCTGGAATTCCTATGAGCATCTCTAAACTAACTTCACCTTCTCCCTCTGTGCATAGAATTTATTTCCCTTCTTTGAGTTGCATCGTATGGAGACTCTATTCTACACTTGCCAAACTGGTCAGCAAACTGCTAGTCATACACATAAAGTGACTTTTAAGAGTACTTCCATCCAGTCACTGAGCTTGATACTGAATTGCAGCATCTAAGAATAAATTTAGCTTCCATTTACGTGCCCTACATACATATTGCCATTATCTAATACCCACAACTAGACCCCTATTGTCTTCAGGCAGCTGCTGACAGGTGGAAGAAAAGACTAGTTGTTCAAGATTTGAAAGCAGTTGGAGGGAGGTCAGACCCCACATGGGATCATGGGGGAATGTTAAAGGAGCAGAGGACCTAGTGATGGCACAGAAGGGTTTAAAGAAAACCTGTGAGTTCATCTAGCCCTGCCCTGTTATCCCTACAGACCTGGAGGGGACAGAAAAGAAGGGAGCCTGGCATAGTGAGGGATTAACTGTCAAAGAGTTGGGAACTTTCTCTTTGCCTTCCTGAAGGACCAGCAACCTGCGAGTCAGTGCAGACACTGGACGCAAGAAGGGAGCTGCTTGGTAAATGGCCCAGCAAGGCCCACCCCAAATTAAAAAGATCTTTCATAGGAATCAACCCAAGAAAACACGTCCTGAAACTACCCTCATGACCTGGAAAAAAATCCATTTCCTCTGCACAGTGGTTTGAGCACACAGAACCATTAGCCAGGATCTGAGGGAGAAGAAGAGGTCAGGTCCCCAATAGTCTTCCTAACCAATGATCTAGGCACGAAGCTGTCCAGCTACTGAAGGCCCTATCACATATCATGGAGATTGCAGTCATTGACCTAGTCCCTGATGATTGGAATTTTAAAAAAAGGCAAAAAAAAACCTCCCAAGAACATGAGGTCAAAACCTTGAATGGAGATGGAACAGCTGTTGAAATGGAAGGCCTAGCAAAACAACCACCATCAACAGCAACAGCAGCAACTCCTGAAGCATATGGCCTTGCAGCAGCAGTAGAATCAGCTAATTAATAAATTGGCAGCGCAGCAACAGCAGTAGCAGCTGCTGCTGGTGGTCCAATAGGTGGTCTCCATATTGCGACCAACTGCTGCACCTGAACTGCCTAGCTCACCCCATCACGTTTGCCAAGATGGGGCCTGATGATGAGCCTGAGGGTTTCTTAGCAACTTTTGCATGGGTAGCCACAGTAACCTGGTGAATTCAGGCCCTTGAAGAACATTTGCATACTTCCCTCTTAAAAGAATCCCTGTGCGCTAGAGGACAAAGACCCCAGTGTTCCCTAATCCATTTACCCACACACCAACTGAGGAGACCACAGTCCTCTGAAGGCTCAACCAATGCTCTTGGTTTGCTCAGAATTTGGGGAGACCTGTCATCACCAGATCACCCAAGTATCCAGGCAGGAAACCCATGTGCCACCCAAGATCACAGTGGCCATTCTGGGCACTGGTCCAAAGAGTGTCCTTAAATGGAATGTATCTTTGCGAAACCACTCTGAAGCCCTCTCACATGCCAAGTGCCCTATTTAGACATGCATCTGATGAAGTGTGTCTTTGCCCATGAAAGCTTATGCTCCAATAAATCTGTTAGTCTATAAGGTGCTACTGGACATCCCGTTGTTTATTCAGATTCAAACTAACACAGCTACCTGTCTGATACTTGTCACCATGCAAGGCACTACATTTAGCCATAGGGAGTGAAAATCCATCAACCTCATGAAAAAACTTGCACAAGTACAG